GTCATAATTCCCGTGAGGTGGGTCCTGGAGATCTGTATTTCAGGCTATCGCCCCTTACAGGCACCAGTTCCTCACAAAGTCGACAGGCAATCTTCTTTTTGTAATTGTGTTTAGTCAATAAACATGTAACCATGTTCCTGTATTTGTGAGGAAAATAAATTCAATATTTATTATTTTTATTATATAGCTTAAAAAAATATTAATGTTAGTTTATTGTGAGCCGTTATCATGTATTTCTGTTTCCCAAATAAAAGGGAATAATACTATTAGCATAAAGTCCGCCTCTTGTATCAATAAAGTTTGTTAAATAAATAAATAAACAATAATATACTTTTGATTTCCTTTCAGTAATAATTCTTATACTTCTTACTTTTGAATGATTGTATATGTCAGATATATTTTTACAATCAATTATGCTATCCACTTCACGTTCTCAGAAGGCTAATTGAATTAAAAGCATTGCTGCACTGGATTCGAGATCAGCTCAAACTAAACAACTAAACCTGCAACAGAGATTAATATTTCACTAGGATTGCATAATAAAATTAAATTCACTGAAGCAAATATTTAAATCAATCGTATTAATTATAACTTAATTTTTGCCATATTTTTATCAAATAACAGAATAAGATCAGTGTGAGAGATGAACGAGTCTACAGCCTGACACGATTTTAATTAAAACGTGCAAACTAAAACAGTGTTAGCTAAAAACGGACAATAACGAGGAGTCAAATTAAGTCTTGAATTAATAATACCAAAGAAGGAAGGATTTTAACAAAATATTATACCTGCACAAAGAGTTAATCAAAAAGTGGAAATATTTAACAATTTTTATGTATTTAGTGTTGGAAAATTATATCAAGTTATTTTCACTGAACTTATGAGTCGCCTAAATCAGTCGCCTAAATATTCAGTAATCACCTAAAGTGCAAAATGTAATTCACCAATAACTATGAACCACCTAAAGATATTAAGTAATATCTAAAGTTATAATATGTGTTATATGGCGACTTGAGATAGGTATATACATAATATAACAAGTCACAAATACACCCTTGCCTTGTTCTAGGTAAATTAAAACGGCTGTATTAGTAGCGAAATGGGATTGTTCTGTAAATAGTTATAAATAAATTTTGTTGAAGTTGTTTCAAATTTCCGATAAAACTACTTACGATAGAACTAAATAACAAAAGAACTTCTTCAATAACGATAGTTAATTAATTGATAAAGTTGAAAATTCATACAATATAACTATAATAACAACATGAACAGCTGTTTCCGAGAAATTTGAGGACTAAAGTTTATTAAATTTTGTTAATATGTTTAGGTAGCCTTAATAGACACACTATTTATAACGTATATTCTGAAATTCATGAAAATATACATACTCACATACACATATCTAACTTTTTATTCCAATCAAATATTCATATAATTTATCGTTCCTTAAAATAAAAGCTTTAAAGCTTTGAACAATATTAAAGAGTAGAGCCCACCTGATTTACACATTGCATTGAACTGTTACATAAAGTTTATTTAGAGCTCAGTTTACGTCTAATTGTAGTCATCTTTTCTAATTTAGAGCTCTAAAAGGCCCTTAACGTGAACTTATTTGAATCGTAGGGTTGTAATGTAGAGCTGTTTGAACGTTCAAATGGACGAAACTAAGTGAAAGTACCCTTTCAAAGATTTTTTTTTTGTTAGTCAACTGCCGGGAGATGTTTCGATTCTCTCGTTGAACCCATTTCATGGAGTAAAAAAGAGTCTTGTTGGTAAATAACGAAATAATTCTAAAAAGATGGAAACCTTTTATTGTATTGTTAATTTATCACTATATGTTTTCCCGCGATTTCGCCCACGTTTATTATATTCTATTTTATGTATTGGGGAATCTACCAAAACACCTACGGTGTGCCCTCTGCTGGGGAATGAGACTTGGGAAGTCATGATCGAGTCGTTAGGATACAGTATTCGGGTTCGCAATTTGATTGCGTCAAAATGTGAACCCGAATACGATTTTAATATTTTTCGTTGCAATTAATCAATTAATATTATTTTGTATTTTAATATGGAAAACAAAATAATAGATATTCTACGCTAATACATCTCAATAAAATAGGTTAAACTACATTATTAATTATTTAATCTTGAGAAAACATTAAATAAAAGAGATATTCAAGTGGTTTGTGGACATGACATCAAAGATTTAGATGAAATTAAGGAAATATCGAGGCGCCAGTGGCATTTTCGAGTTACAAAATAGGAAATTTGAATTTCATAACGAATTCAGCTTTCGTAGTTCGAAATGTGTTTACAGATTCGCATGGCAGATTCGGCGAACTTTTGATATATTTACTATTTTATAACTCGTACTTAATTTTACCGCCTGTTTCTCTCCAACAGAACCTATTTAAAATTTTAAATAATTGGACCTATTTCAATGTTTCGTTTTAAGCATGTCAAACGAATATTTTAAATAGGTCTAATTAATTTCGGTTTAGCGATACATTCAGCAATTCATTTCAATTTATATAAATGGATTATAATAAACGCAAGTGTACATTCATGAATAAAAGAATAATTTTCACCTTTCAAAGCCGTCATTTATATACGTTTATTATTTAACTATTTTCAAATATAGAGAGCATAAATAAAAGTTAACGGTGCGTTAACTTTTAAAATTAGCTCATAAAATACCTTTTAAAAGTTCTGACTGTTATAGCCTCCAAGTTAGATAGTGAAAAGGCGTTTGAAAGGTTTATTTACAATATTATTACTATCGTTTTAAAGATTATTGTGAAATTAGCAAGAGAAAGAACAATAATTTCCAATTATGATACTACTATTCAAGACTTAAATAATGAGGATATTTGTAAGTTGCTTGTTTATATTTCTTTGTTAAAATATTTCAGTAAATATTTCAAAACGGTATCTATATATAAATAAAAATGAATTTCCGTTCGTTAGTCTCGCTAAAACTCGAGAACGGCTGAACCGATTTGACAAATTTTAGTCTTGAAATATTCGTGGAAGTCCTGGGAAGGTTTAAACAATGAGAAAATATGACAAAATTGCGCGTATAATACTAAAAATGACCATTTGATTTTCCCATACAAACTGTTTAACTGTTCCCATAAAACTTAGCTGTCAAACGTTCAGTTGACAATCAATAGTTATGATCGTGTATTGGTCAGTTTACGCAATATTTTTCAATCTATGGTTCGTCTTGACAGCACGTAAAAAAAAGACATGCTGTCGCCATTATAGTTATTAGTGCACGAAAACATTATTAATTTAAACCCTATTTATAATTATAACTCTATTATATGGTTTTTATTAAGAGGTAAGTGATACGAAGTTCACCGGGTCAGCTAGTATGGAAAATAAATCTACGCTGTTTTATTTCAATTAACAGCCATATTATGAATATCTAATAAATGTTTGATAGTTCGTTGTTTTTGAACGACAGAGGAGAGCTCCAATTTCGGACATAGTTTTACATCTATTTGAAACGGCTCTAGTTGAATTTAGTTTTGAACTGTTTGAGTAATTTAAAATCAATTATTTAGTGCTGACTAAATATTGAACGTCTATAATTAATTAAATATTACACAACATGTTTAGATTTTATAACCAATTTCGAAGTTACTGATAAGGCATTAAGAGTTGAGATTATTTGAATTTCTTCATTTTCAAATAATTTTGAATAATGTATATGATTGATCAATGAATATGTATGACGTGATATTTTTAATACCAATTTCACAATTAAAGTTCTCTATATGTTTTTTAACTAGAGGAAAATACAATATTTGCGAACGAATAACATAGAATAAGACTTTAACAAGTTATTGTTACAGTCTGGATTGAATAATAGAATTTAAATTTTATTTCTATCGAAGAAATCTTTTTTTACTTGATATTTTTTATCAAACATACTTTTATGGAATTTACGATTATATTTGTCATGACTTTGCAAATGTCTAAGTATTAGAAATAATAGTAGTTTTATGTAAATAATATAACACAAATAACTCACCATAAGATAAATATTTCATTTAACGACTGTTTCAGACAGTTTGGATGAAAACCAATAGTATCTAATTGGAAAACAATATATTTAATATTTAAATAAACATGGTTTCCTTAATTTAATCTTCTTAATGTAACTTTATACCTGAATTTAAAATGTATATAAAAAGATATGCTGACATAACATGGGTTAATTTTAGAACAACATAAAATTAAAAAGTATTACCTATATCACATCACATCACCAGCCCTTTTACGTCCCCACTGCAGGGGCTCAGGCCTTCCTTATGGATGGTTAAGGAGGATGGGCCATGACGCTCTACGCTGGCCCAATGCGGATTGGAGGGTATTAACGACTGCAAATGCAGCCGGGACCAACGGCTTAACGTGCCTTCCACAGCACGTAGTAGCTCGAGATAATATTTTTTTGGTCACCCATCCCGTGACCGACCCTTGCGAAAGTTGCTTAACGACTACGATCGCGGGCTGCGGCACTTATCCACTATGCCACCGAGCTACCTATATACTAATATTAAAATGAGGGAATTCTTAATTGTTTATTTGATTTGAATAGGCTTCGGACCTACTGGACCAATTTTTTTATTTCTTTTATTTACATGTTAAACGCGGGTAACATTGGCTATAATTTACGCAGAAGATGCGGTAAAAAAGCTAGTAAATAATACAAAAAGTATTAGATAGTCGGTTATCAGTATAAGATCTTTCACCGCAAAATGCAAACCAATGGCATAGCTTTCGATTTTCACAGCCAAAACTGAATAAATTATATTGAATTTAGAATGTTTTCTTTCTAGTTCTACTGTCAATCTCTAGATATTACTCGTACATTATGTAAAACGAAATTTTCATTGTTTTAACGGTACATTTTTCTTTTTGCAGATATTGAATTAAAACGTCCAATAAACAAACAATGAGATGAGATGCCCAGTATCGATTTGGTTTAAAAAATGTCGCCTCAAAACAGTGGATCCAATATAACCCATACTCTTACAAGTTTATTTGAAGAAATGTTGCTAGCATCAGATCTGAACAACGAAAATAGAAGTAACGTAGACCTGTCACAGTTCCTGTCCGCTCTGAAAGAGCAGTCTTCGAAGAACAGTAGCCATGAGCCTTTGGACTTTGGGACACTCGTGAAATTGGTGGACGGTTGGCGGAACAAGTTGAATTTGACCAAGAGCTTTGAGCCACCTTGCAACTACTGCGATGGTAGTTTCCGTGACTTTGTTCTAGCTTACAACAGTATTCATGGTTTCATAAGCCTATTTGTAAGTATTTAATTTTAATCATTATACTAACCCGACTGGAAATCGTACGTGGATTCGCAGAGATGGCAATGCCTAGAAACTGGCATGCGAGCCATTAGGCCACGGAGCCAAGGAGGTCGTCATATATGTTAGGCTACTCATTTGTCATGCACATTTAATCCCAGTTTTCACTAAAATTAGGAGTTGCTTAATTCTGTCACCTAAATATTTAGCGGTCGCCTATGGTGAAAATGCATTTCACCAATGACTATGAACTACGTTACGACATTAAGCAATGTCTAAAGTTATAAAATGCATTATACGCTGTCTTGCGCTAGTATTTACGTAATTTGATAGTATATGACAATATGTGTCAAGTGATAAATGGAAAAATGTTTATTTGGAATTAAACTAAGGTGTTTAGGCTATTATTAATCTTAGGCTAGTTGTGCTATATTCCTAGTTATGCCATGCTTTGTTCTAGGTTAGTGAAAACGGGTGTAAATGTGATTTCGAGAGTTTTAGACATGATCAATTTTAAAAGTTTGCGTCAGTGGTATTTACAACTAATAGCAATTATTATAAAGGGAAGTTAATTGAACAAAAGAGCTCAGTCTTTCTAAAGATCTTTTCACCGGCTGCACATCAGATTATTACAATATGTTAAATTCCACCAGTTGATTTTACTCTCTATCTACAAAAGATTAACACATAAAACCAAGTGGCGAATCTTGACAGATTTAACTATACATCATGTGTCTAAACACAAAACAGAAGCTTTTTTTTTAATTTATTTGACTAAGGAACATTTACAATGATACATACCTACTATTAATAACATTCAATTTTTTCCGACTTATTGCAACAGGCACTTAAAGGTTAGCTCCGCGTGCATAATGAGCTTACAATATCTAAAGTTATACGATATCCAAAGGTTGTCTGGAAGAGATCGCTGTTTAGTGATAAGACCGCCAATTGTGACACATAGCTTAATATTTTTCTTTTTACTTTGTATGTTTTGTATTTGGTGTTTGCAATAAAGTGTTATCTATCTATCTATTTATTAATCAATTACAGACTTATATGTTCAAAATATATTAACACATACGTAATAAGCCATATAAATATATATAACAAAAAAAAAATCTGTCATATATGAAATTTTAGAAAATCTAGAACATTTTTGTGGAAACGTGGAGTAAGAATCAAAATGTAAATCAAGCAAATCGCTACAGGACGACGATTTGCACGAGAAATCTAATCCGAGAATGATATAAAACTTCTGTAGGCGGAATTGGATGTTTTAATTGAATGGTATTGTATAAACAAAATGTACTTAAACCCAAAAAAAATGTTTCCATATGAAATTTACACGAAAACACAACCCATTATATTGTGATTACCCAAATCAAGATAAAAAAAAGATCACCCAGATTTTTACAAGAAGATCTGGGTGATCTTTTCGATAAAAAAGTAACCTTTATACCTCAAATACATAAGATAGTCAACAAAGCATCCAGGGCATTAGGATTTGTTATAAGGAATACCAAAGATTTCCATCATGCTGCTACTAAAATTTTAATTTACAACAGTCTAGTGAGAAGTATATAAGTATATTGGAATATTGCAGTGTGGTGTGGACACCACATTACGCCACACACACTTTACACTTAGAGCGTATACAGAAACGTTTCCTTTGGCACCTCTCTTTCTCGACGCATAAGACTAACCAGCTAAGATCGTATATTTCTAGATTGCAATTCTTCAGGATGGATTCTCTGACGCTAAGCATTACGCAGAGATCTCTTGGACATGCTTTTTGTTATATGGATCCATACCAATTTGAGATTTTCTTTAATGGCTTCCTCTGTTTTTTTCAAGAACTATTATATAAATCAGTTGCTAACTTTTTACAACGTTTACTTATTAATTTAAATTCTAACTTATCCACTGGATTCTTGTATTTTTTATGGCGACATCTAAGATTATTTCTTATTAAACCATTGAGGGTATCGGTTAGATTTCTGCTTGTGCAGTGGTACATTATTGCGAATAACACTTGTCAGAACTTCATATACAATATTAACCATATAATCAACGACGAGCCCCTCAAAAAGTGACGCCTAGTCATTTCGCCTAAAAGTTTACGTATTTGCCTATAGCTAATTATATTTAGCTTTGTAAAAGTTAGGTCTTGCGAACGACGTATGATACGGAAGTTTATGCTCTTTTTTTAAGTATAAAGACATGTCTAGAGATGGATGTAGTTCATCCTTGATACTTAAAGGATCAACCGATTCATATAAATGACCAAGCAACGATGTTGAAGAAAGCACTAAATCTAGCGTACGCTACGAAATATTTTTAATATTGTTAAATTGATTTAATTTGTTAACATCAATGAAGTCAAGTATACTTTGGCATACAGCAGATAAGCTGACATTATTGATAACACTTCCATCCCAATTAATTGCACCCAAATTAAAATCTCCTCTTAAGACAAACTGCTCACCTTTACAATTTTCAAATACAAAGTTACAACCTTCTACGAAATGCTCAAGAATAGGCAGGCACACAGGCGGCGGCAGATAGATTGGCAAAGAGTTATTTGAGGTGAGGTCTCAAAATCGCTAATGTTAATAGTGACCCAAAGACATTCACATTTATTTTCCCATAAATTCATTCGTTGGGATATGTATTTTTTTATTACCGCAACCAATATCAACAACGCCCCCTCCATCCCTACCACCTTCAAAACCAGAGGTCTCTATCTCTACGACACAACACATATCTGTCCCCAAATAACTCAGTGCTGCTAACTGAATTATTCAACCATGTTTCTGTTAGGACTATGACATCATAATCAGTGCAACAAATATTCTTATAAAATTCTTTTATTTTATTTCTTAAGCCTTTATATTTTGATAATAAATTTTAAGTTAATAGAATGTTTTACTTTAACTACTAAAGCATATCGAGGTATGAGTTTTCCTAGCGAAAATTCTTCCTTTTCTAATGCACATATATTTATCCCTTATCTTTTGCTTTATTTGGTGGTGACAAGAGCTTGATGACAAAAACAGGTACTTGGGGACCCGATATGCCTAAATGGCTGCTACAAAGTCGCTCCTGGGGTTTATTTTTTTTTGCTTTGTTAGTGTTTGGCTAATATTTGTAATATTATATTGAAAATTGGTTCGTGTTTAGTGATGAATCCCGTAGATTCAGAGTGATAATACGGAAAGGCAAGCCTCTCCCCGAGCGCGGTCGAGATGCTGCCCGCATATGGAGAGACCGCCCTCCGATGTGTTGAGCCGAATCCCTTCAGCATGTCATCTTCGAGATGGCCACAAGAGAAAGGAAACGACCCGGCAAGGAAGAAAAGAAAAGATAGGACAGATTATACAAAATATACTATATAAAGATAAATATTAATTATAAGAGATATATAAAATATACATAATAATAATAGCTCCTGGGGGTTAGATCTGTTGAACTTAATAGTCCTAGCAAGCAATTCATCTCGAATCCTAGGCGAAGCAAGTTGGAGTATAATCGATCATGGACGCGTACTGATGGGATTAATCTTAGCTGCGCGCGTGAAATGAAGGATATCGGTACTCTTCAATTACTGTTTTTCCTAGTTGCGTGATAATATTACTCAAATCTTCTATTTTCCTTTCAGGTACGCATTGAATCTCCAGATTAGATGATCGTGCCTGCTGTTCTAGATAATCAATACGTGCATTTAAATTTCCAATCGTTTCTTTTAGCTTTACATTTTCAGCTTGCAATTCCTTCTGTGACTTAACGATAGTTTCCTGATTGTTCTTAATCTTCTCAAACTTCTGATTTACGAGTGTAAAGAACATAGATTCATTGATTTCTTTCATCTCATCTTTTATTGGCAAAAGCTCCTTATTTATGGCAAACTGCAGACTGTCATTGATTTTTTTCAGTATGTTACCAAATTGCGCTCTTACAACCTCTTGTATTGTGTATTTCAAGTCCTCTGTGGCAGCAGATGGTGGTGAGGGTGAATTTAATGCAGGCCTTTTGCTTCCTCAATTTACCGAAATGTTGTGCAGAGGGGTGTGGTCCGCTTTATTTCTCTGTACACGAGTTGCATATATTGGGTAATCCTAGTTCAAAGAACCCGACGATTCTCCGGGAGTATCCGTAATCGACATACATGCGAGATGGAAAGATGATCTACACTTCTCACATTTCACACTTTTTATCAAAAGCATTCTCGTTACTGTAACACCCCCAATTTTGATATTTTATATAAAGTTCGCTCACGAAAACAATAATCAACGTCATTAAAACAATATTATATATATTCGGTTTATATAAGTAAAGAAAAAGATACAGATTAAGAATAAAAAAGATATCTAAAGAAAAAAAGTTCCCGGTACGTAGGATTGAACTCGTTTTATTATAAAAGCTTCAAGTTCCTTTTTTTACATTTCACTTGCATTTACGAAGTGTCGAACACTCTTTTCTTTTCAAAACAATCGACTGTTTTTATAACGTACTTTGTCGCGTATAAACAAAACACAAAAATGTACGAGTACTTTAGCACTTGTTTCTTCGTTATTTGTCGAGATAACACTTTCATTCATTTATTCCGTAGAATATTTCTAGAATATTTGCATATATTTTAAACAACTAAGAATATTTTTAAATTGTGATAATTTACAGAGCCCTACTTATGCGTGGCGGCGATCGAGTTGTTCGAGAGCGAGCGTTGAGCGAGAGTCCGGCAATTAAGTAATAATGCATAGGTTTGGATTTAAAAAATCTTGAGTTAAAATAGTATGTGCATATGTATCATAAAAAAGGCGTCACGTAGGTAGATTTTCCAAGAGAATGTTTTATTTAACAAGCTTATACCTCTATTAAATTGCAATGCAGTTCTTCAAATTGTATAACTGAATTTTAATAAACCTGCATGCAAAATGCCATCTTGATCGATTATATTTATTTATTTGATAAATTAATATAAATATATTTGATAAATAAATAGTCCATTAATATCTGAGAAATAATGTAAAAGTAACAACATATTTGGGAATTAATAGTTTCGGAGATAAGGTGCAAAGTTTATGGAACTGCTGCTAATCGGCCGAAAATCCTCCTTACAAATTCAAGCTATGAAGTGACGTCACCTGTACTCTGGTAGCGGAAAATAAATATTATTTAGATTATTTGTGCGCTTTTGTTTATATTTGTCATAATGGATACATTTTATGTAACTATGTATTTACCATATGTATTTTCTCTATTTTTGCTAGTTTTCAAAACGTGGTATTTTCTAAAATAGTGTAATAATATTTATATTTTAAAATAATTATAAGTTAAAATGGTTCATTTTTTCTAAACATATAATAATACAAGAAAACTGTATTTTCATTTGTAGGACACATTGGTTAGCAAAGTTACATTTATTTATTTAAGCTTTATTGTACAAATAAAAATGTACGAATCGCAGTCTTAATGCCATGAGGCAATAGCTACCAGTTAACCGGAGAGTTGTAGCAGAGAGTTTTGAAAAGGCGGTACAACAAGGAAACAAAAAAAATAAGCGATATATCCATAGTGAATGACACAAGATTGCAACCTAGTTATTATTTTCTTAATTTTATTTTTTATAACCATAGAAAAAATCAAATCATGTCTAATGAAATGCAGTGATGAGCCCCACGATTACCAATAATTTAGATTACTATGGTCGAATAAAAGAACAGTTATATCTGCAAAAAATAAAGATATCCCAGATTTTGAACCTCTTAAAATAAATTAAGAACCAATTCAAAGGTCCTATGAAAAAATTTGTTGGGGTTACGAATTGATGACATACTCACATTGAGCATATACATTCAAAATTACCAGCTATACTTGGAGCACTGCGAAAGATACTACACTGCATACCAAAAACAAGGTCAAATCAATTTGTATACAATTCTTTAGTTAAGTCACACAGCATTTCTAAAAAGGTAAAACAAATATTTATTCATTTATAACGTCTAAAATGTAGGAATGTAAAGTTTCATGGTTTTATATTTGACAATGACGAGCTTCCATACAAACTCTTCATTATTTCAACCTTTTTATCGCTATAAATTTTTATAATCAACCTATGTCCTGTCTCAAATCGTTAAGCGTGAGAGTTTAACACACATATACTTACACAAACCTACGTATGCAGACCTGTAATAATATTAGGGGTTAAAGTATAAAATTGCCGTTTTATTGTAATAGGTTCCTTGAATTGACATAGAATCTTCATGGTTTTGGTTTAAACGCTTTCGTGATGGAAACTTCGATTTGAAAAACGAGCTACGAGGAAGACCGCTCACACAAGTAAACAACGATGGTTTAAGAAAGATGGTGGAAGCGGATCCTACTCAAACTACTTACCCATAATATTGACTCATTTGTGTTAAATCAATAAGATAAAAAAAAAACGAAAAATGGTTGCCTCATGATTTGACTGATCTGCAGAAAGAAACGCGTGTTGAAACTTGTGTTGTCTTGTTGAATCGGTACAGAAACGAAGAATTATTGGACCGAAATGTGACATGTGATGAAAAGTGGATTCTTTATGATAACCGTAACAAAAAAAAATGTAATGGCTGAACCCAGGTCAAATTCCACCATAGTGTTTTAAAGCAAAACTTACCAATAAAAAGGTAATGATAGCTGTTTGATGGTTTTAGGATGGTGTTATTCACTGTAGTTGGCAAAACAACCCTGACTTATGAATCGATCTTCACCATTATTAATACGAGAAACCGTTTTGACCCATCAGGAACTGGAGTTAGAAACCATTTGTAATCCTCCGTATTCGCCAGACCTTGCTCTAACGGACTACCATTTTTGTCATGATTTGAACAATTATCTACGTGACAAGAAGCTTTCTTTCCAAGAGGAAGTACGAAATGCTTTCACACAGTTTGTGCAGTCTAGATTCTCAGAGATCTATCGCCAAAGCTTAAAAGACCTTCCTATTAGATGGCAGTAATATAAAGATTATAATAGTAACTATTTTAATTAAATAAATTTGTTAAAAATTAAAAATAAACAATTTTGATTTTCAGTACAAATCGGCAATTAGAAAACTTTTACTCCTATTATTTATATGAAATAAAATAACCTTACCGCTCATCTATACATATAAAAAAGGAGATGTTCTGACTTACTGACTGACGTTAGAGGAAAGATTCTCCTTAATAAGTAGAGGTGTACTAAGAATGGATTTTTGGAAATTCCATCCCGAAGGGAGTCGAAAAGGGTGAAGAAGTTTGTATGAAACTTTTTTTGTTTATGGACTTATATCGATGAAAATTGGTATTTGGGTAGTTTATGACCCTAAGAAGGTAATAGGTTATATTTTATCCCGAAAATTAGCACTTAAAGGAATAAAAATGGGCATAAAAGATTTTATGAGGAATCAAAATATTACCATAGCAACCATGTTTACAATCTGATTTGTCAGTGAAATAAAATTACAAAATATTTTATTGTATAGCGATAAAAACTGGTATTTGGGTAATTTTACATTTTTGAAATTTTAATGTATAAAAATGTTTAAATTCAAGTAATTTTGTTTACGAAAGAAAAAATATTTTTATATTTTATATTCATATATATAAACTACACTAGATAGCGTTAAATGAATTCCAGAGATGTGACTTATCTTAGATACAAGTATTTGAAATACAGATACAAGATACAAAATACGTATTTTCATCTTGTCTCTAAAATACTTTTTTTAGGAAGTATTTTGTATCTTGTATTTAAATACTTTTGTCTAGTATCTTAGTATCTTTTAAATACTTTTTCTGATAAAATACTTTATAAAAAGATTATTTCTTACGTTTTATAAATATCACAAAACATTCTTTGCCTAAAACATGCATATTTACAAAATAAAAAGTGTTCAATTATCAACGCAATGAATATTTAGTTAAAAATAACTCGAATCCAAACATTGTTTGGTGTAATTTTAAAAAGTAAATGCGTAGAACTGAACGTATGTACGGTTATACCGGTGTAATACACCCTCCCTAGTAAAAATTGATAGATGGCGCATAGGGCTTGAAATCGAATAACCAGTTACAAGCAATAAAAAATCTTGATTTATGTAAAAACCCGGTTATATGCTATAAATAAAACTCAGTATATCAATTAAACTCATTATTAAATTTTATTTTTTTTTTGCACATTATACTTTTTCCACTAACAAGAGCATTCAAAAAGTTTATTTTTAAAGAAATTTCACTGTGAAATTCGATACATGGCAAATGCTTGAAATTATATCCCGTGAGCAAAGCAATATTGCCTTTATTGACTCAACAGTTAATCTTTTTCTATCTTTGACCACTGCATATTCATGAGCGAAAAAAAAAAATCAATATTCGCATTATGAGGCATAATACAAAAAAAATACTGACAAATCTTCAGTAGTTCGGAAACGAGTGCTGTCATTGCATATATTGAAAATAATTACCCACTGCTTTTCAACTAATTCGTCATAAAAATAAATTTGTTAATAGAAAAAATTCTTCAAATAATGTCTTTGACATCGTCAATTAATACTCCTTTATTTTTCAAAAATACAACACAATCTGTGATATAATCGTATAGTAGATTTTGCTTTAATAAGTAACCATTTAATTCAAGGGATCTTTATTGAGAAACAACAAAAAAATGAGCGGAGTCCTGTCTTAATATTAGGTCTTTACCTATGTAATTGCCGTTAAAAAGCAAACAATTTTTTTTTGGCTGATAATTCTAATATCAAATTATTTTTTCTAAAATCGTCATTTGTTCAATAGTAAGTGTTTTGTTTTCAATGCATTTGAATATTTTTCATCGTCATGGATAA